TTTTGTGGTATTCTCTCTTTTCTCTTCAGTGGGCTTTTGGCTTTGAGTTTTCTAGGAAGGAGACAAGATTTCTCAAACAGAAAAATCTGCACAGTATACTCAGTAAGCTGGATGAACAAACCAAAATGCTAAAAGCAATACTATTTATTTAGAAGAATTGATCAATATATGTGCTCAGGATCTAAAACCATAAACTGATGAACTGACATAATCCCCTCACTCACAATAGATCCTCCTCTTTGTATCATAATACCACCTGCCTAGATAGAACCCTTTCCCTGGAAGCTCAAACGATTTGGCAATGGTTGTTAATACCTATGATGCATTTGGAGACAAAACAGATTTATTTTTGCCCTGTCTTTATGTTTAAGGCTACTGAGACACAGAAAGTCCACACAAGTCAGAATTACTCAAGGAGTAAACTACGGACACACTGACCCATCACCAACTAACTACTTTATCCAACATGCATGAAATGAGAGTTCTGTGCATCATGCTACCCTTTCTTGTCCTTAGCTACATTACTGTTTCTGGCCCATGGGCATATTTTTGTACCTTTTTGCCGTCTGAGAAATCCGTTTGATTATAAGCAAAAAGACCATCTTTTAGCACTCCTTGCTATGAGTTCTCATTGTCCTTAGCCACTCTTCAGGTTTTAAGTGAATTTCTTTTCACACTTCAAATTCTCTGATATTTTTTAACAGAGGATTCACTAGATTCTAACTTGCATTTAGCATTGTCTAAGATGTAATACTATGCTTACTTTTGTTCTTGTGTCTGAAAACAACAGGAAAAAAGGTCAGTAGAAATAGTAAATCTGTGTGTGTGCGTGTGTGTGTGCGTGCATGTGTGTGTGCACGCGCACGCACGCTTCAGGTCTTCATAGAAAATAACCTGCAACATATTTCTAAACCTCTTTAGCAGTTTCAGCTTCCCCACCCTGCTCTCAGCATTACAAGCTTTAATGTGCTCTTTACAAATCATCCCTTTTTACACTTTTTGATTATCCAGAATCCCTGCAGCACTGGTACAGTACAGTGTGTAGGAAACTAGAATGAACTAGAAAAAACCCAAGCAATGGAAACACATCTAAGAAAATAAATGCATGAGGCCAGGAATGGTGGCACACACCTGTAATTCCAGCACTTTGGATGGCCAAGGCCAAAGGATCACTTGAGCCCCGCCAGTGCTGAGACCAGCCTGGGCAACACAGTGAGACCTTGTCTCTACTAAAAATAGAACATTTTTAAAAATTACCCAGGTAGGGTGGCATGTGCCTGTAATCTCAGCTACTCAGTGGCTGAAGCAGGAGGATCGCTTGAGCCCAGGAGGTCAAGGCTGCAGTGAGCCGTGATTGCGCCACTGCACTCCAGCCTGGGTGACAGAGTGAGACCCTGTATTAACAAGTTAATAAAAATAAATAAATGCATATATCACTTGGAGAATAGCAGCCTGAGATGCTCCCTGACACCCTGGGCTTTCCCATCAAAGATATTGCCTATTGTCCCAACAGGCCTTAGGAAGCTTGGAAGTGACTACTTATGTAGTCACTCACTAGCTGTGTGATTGAGCAAGCTACTGAATATTTCTGAGTTTCCATTCTCTCATCTATCAAATGGAGAAAATTGTACCTCTCCTACAACACTGTAAGGAATGAAACTAAAATATAAACAGAATAGAATGGCATACAATGTAGCACACAGCACAGTGCCTGCTATATGCCTTTTAAAATGAGAGCTACAATAATAATGGTAAGAGGTATTATGTTTATTGCCTGTCTAGAAAAGAATATACATTCTTCTGGTTTTTTTTTTTAAGTGTTTTTCATATTGTCCTCAATTTCCATATTTCTTTTTTTGGCTCCTTCTAAACCTCCCAGCTACCTATGTTTATGCAGTCACTTCCCCTAGAAACTCACACGGAAAAGTATCAGATCAAACAAATTCTCAGCTGGGCGAGGTGGCTCACGCCTGTAATCCCAGCACTTTGGGAGACCGAGGCAGGAGGATCACCTGAGGTCAGGAGTTTGAGACCAACCTGGCCAACATGGTGAAACCCTGTCTCTACTAAAAATACAAAAGTTAGCCAGGCATGGTGGTGCATGCCTGTAATCCCAGCTACTCAGGAAGCTGAGGCAGGAGAATCATTTGAACCCAGGAGGTGGAGGTTTCAGTGAGCCGAGATCGCCTTGCTTCACTCCAGCCTGGAGACAGAGACTGTCTCAAAAAAAAAAAAGAAAGAAAGAAAGAAAGAAAACAAGACAAAAACAAATTCTCACTTACTCTTCTAAGAAACAGAACTATGCAAGAGGAGAAATCCTTAATATGAATGAGTGAATTGCTATTGATATAAATGGAACAGGATTTGAGAAAGGTAAGATCCTCCATCGTACTCTTTAGATTTCACAGATGGGTAACAAGCTACTCAGCTCAGGAAGGTATCTGAGCATCACCCCTCATCTGACCCCTGCTAATATCTCCACCTGCCCTCCCCCATCCTCCTCACCATCATCCTGCCCTCTTCCTTAACTCAACTATTCCTAGTACACACCATGCTCTCTCTCGTTTTATCCCCTTGCATATGCTGTTTCCTTTGCCCAGAATGCCTGATCCCCATCCAGATAATTTCTAGCCATCCTTAAAGATTCAACATGGCTCCCCTTTAGTGACTGTGCCATAGCATCTTCCCCAGGACTCCTTCATTGTTTGACTCTGGCATGTGTAGAGGAGTGATATTCACATTACAGCCTATGTGAATGGCACCCTCTGGAGGGGTACCATGCACAGTCTGTGGGAGTCCTTGTTCTCCCACGCTCTGCCCAATATTCCTCTCCTGTGTACTCCAGTAGCCTCCTAATGTAAATTTTTGTTCCACCGTTCTACCCATTTACTTGAAACCTTCCCTCCTAGTCTAGCAGTTTCTGAAGGGAGGAGTATGGGTTCTGTTTCTGTTTTTCCAATACTTCACATACAACAGGTACTCAGTAAACATTTGATTAATTGGTTGATTGATGGATACATGGATTAACGAATGAATAAAGAGTTGAAGGAAGGCTTAACCATTGAGATAGAGGATAATAACTTGTGAATTGAACTCTGTAGAGATGAGAAAGAAACAATAAAAAGGAGATAAAAATGTAAAGTGGAAAAATCCTCCATTAGTAGTCTGATTACTGGCTCCCAAATATTACCCGACAGGAGCATCTTGCAGGAGAGGCTTTTGGGAAGGCCCTTAACATCTCAGTAATAGGTAGCTCAGTAAGTAGGAAAGTATCCAAGAGGACAGAACAGAATGATGATAAAAGTAGACTAAGAATCAGATACGTAGTCTAGGACAATGGTAGAGAAAGTTTGCTTTCTAGTACCATCTGGGGACTTACTATAACCTTTTATAATTGAAATGGAGTCCATGTCTGTATATCTCAAGTTGAGAAGCCCTTTTTTTCTATTCCTGGTTTCTCTCACTTCCTTTTGCTTACTGTTCAAAGTTTTAAAACTTGCTGAACATCACATCCTTCTTTTTATCAGCTTTCGTGCACCTTAGAACAAAAATTTCCCCCAGAGGACAGGGATACAGGAGCCTATATTTAGAAAGTACTTATTATGGGTTGGATGAAGGCCTGACTATGCCTAGAGTCAAGCTGCTTGAAGCTCTTCTAATATTCATTTAGTTAGAACGGTAACCACACTGAGTTATTGCTGGTCTCATATGGATCATATATTCACAGACAGCTCTTGGCTTAGACAAAAGGATATATATTGTCTCTGCTGTTCACATCATGTCTTTTTATTTCATTACGACTATTGTGCTTAGAAGCATGGTTTTCAATCTATATTCCCAATTAAATTATTTCAACACAGTCTGTACATGTAAGCACATAGTTTTCTTTGAAGCAGACTTCGTTAAAATTGATATCTATTCTCTACTATCTCTGCCTTCCAGGACTACCACATTCTGCTCTAACGAGGAAGGAAGAAACAATTTTTTACATGAATGGACTTCATAACCAGTATATAGGATTAACTGACATGAAATTTTTAAAGTTCTAGAAAGCATTAGAAGTTCTAGAAAGGATGAGCGTTCCAAAGGAAAACTCATTTGAACACCAGCTGAAGTTTCCGTCACATCTTCATTGTATCTGTGGCCCCCAAGCTCAGTTGTCCCTTTCATTATGCTCATGCTGGGTTTATAGGCAAATGTAACTAGGTTAAAAAAAATTAAAAGGATCAGTATGATTTCATCAAGGGAACATATGGGTGAATGGTTGAAAACCGTAAAAAGTGACACCGTTTAGATCGACTCCAAAATAAATGCTGTCAGCCACCTGAAAGGTCACTTGGGTAATGGGTTCCATGCTTGAGAGGTCAGCATATCCTCTGCATGAAGTTTCATACAAAATTAAGAATTAGGAGCTAAGAGTTATGAGAGCCAAAACAAGGGGAAAATAAGGAACAATTGGGAGTTAGTTACTTCTAAGTCTGAGCCAAGAGAAACACACCATTAGCAGAGATTTTCCAGTGTGATAAACACATATTCAAATAGCGAGTTAGAGAAAGCAAGATGTTGAGAACAAAATTCTTCACTAGAATGAAGCAAATAAAAGCTCAGATTTGGAAATTGGAAAAGAGATATGAGGCCATGGGTGAGATTTCCTTGCTTGAAAGAAGACTTTAGTGCCAGAAAGTATTTCACTGTAAAAAATATCTCATGTGAAGAAGGGCAATTCTTTTTTAAAAAAGACTAATCTTACTTACTTCATCTTCATCTAGAATTTATAATCTATGTCTTTCTTAATTGGGTATGAATATACATATATAACTTCTATCAAGGAGAGAGGAAAAGGGGAGATGGTTATGACAGGAAGTTTTTGGTACTGATGGAAATGAATGATCATGTGTATTTTAATCATTGTGGGCAACTTGTACCCTTGTTATGTTTATTTAAGGATGTAGAATGATGACATAAATCTGAATGACAATGGTACTTTATTGATTTTGCAGAATTAAGAGGAAGATTTATGAGGCATGGAACCCTCCATCAGATTTGGAAGAAAGTAGAGTGAGCGCAGAGATGACAGACAGCCACTAAGGCCCGTGGACAATCCCACCTCACGCTTCTCTATCAAACTTTAAGATTTATTAGTAATATGCTGCCTTTGGAAGATGAAAAGAAACTAGTGCCAAGGAGGCGTATTCTTCAATATTTGGAATAGACGTGTTCTCAAGACAATGGCTTCAAAGGTCTCGTGTTTGTATGTTTTGACAGTTGTGTGCTGGGCCAGCGCTCTCTGGTACTTGAGTATAACTCGTCCTACATCTTCTTACACTGGCTCCAAACCATTCAGCCACCTAACAGTTGCCAGGAAAAATTTCACCTTCGGCAACATAAGAACTCGACCTATCAACCCACATTCTTTTGAATTTCTTATCAACGAGCCCAATAAATGTGAGAAAAACATTCCTTTTCTTGTTATCCTCATCAGCACCACCCACAAGGAATTCGATGCCCGCCAGGCAATCAGAGAGACGTGGGGGGATGAGAACAACTTTAAGGGGATCAAGATAGCCACTCTCTTCCTCCTGGGCAAGAATGCTGATCCTGTTCTCAATCAGATGGTGGAGCAAGAGAGCCAAATCTTCCACGATATCATCGTGGAGGACTTTATTGACTCCTACCATAACCTTACCCTCAAAACATTGATGGGGATGAGATGGGTGGCCACTTTTTGTTCAAAGGCCAAGTATGTCATGAAAACCGACAGTGACATTTTTGTAAACATGGACAACCTTATTTATAAATTACTGAAACCCTCCACCAAGCCACGAAGAAGGTATTTTACTGGCTATGTCATTAATGGAGGGCCAATTCGGGACGTCCGCAGTAAGTGGTATATGCCCAGGGATTTGTACCCAGACAGTAACTACCCACCATTTTGTTCGGGGACTGGCTACATCTTTTCAGCTGATGTGGCTGAACTCATTTACAAGACCTCACTCCACACCAGGCTGCTTCACCTTGAAGACGTATATGTGGGACTGTGTCTTCGAAAGCTGGGCATACATCCTTTCCAGAACAGTGGATTCAATCACTGGAAAATGGCCTACAGTTTGTGTAGGTATCGCCGTGTTATCACCGTGCATCAGATCTCTCCAGAAGAAATGCACAGAATCTGGAATGACATGTCAAGCAAGAAACATCTCAGATGTTAGGATTTTTACCAATGGAAATACATTTCTTTTCTTTTTTTAAGAAATGGGACCTAAGGTGTTGGTATTTTCCAGGTGTCAGGGGAAATGAACTGGTGAAGGGGTTTTGTAAAGTTTTTGCTTCCTGCTATAAGTTCCTTTCTTGGATTACCAATTTACAAATGTTAGACTCTGGTCATAGAAACAATAAATGAGTTAGAATAGCCAGATTTCATTCTCAGTCCCAGGGCATTGCTATTTGTCTCAAAAAGTGACTTCCAAATAACTCCTAGGATTGATGTACTGTGCATTTGAGATAAAAATTTGGTTCTGGGAAACTGAAACTCACAATAATGTGTTTGTATCATCTCTGCAAAAATTAATACATAAACAGAAACCATTTTCAAAAGCAATTCAGAAAGGATACACAGTCAGGAAGACACACTAGATGTGATTATTAATATCGTGCGTGTTGTTACATTATAATTTTACATATATTGCCATGTAATGTGTACAGTATTTGCAGTTCCACCAAGAAATGAACTTGGTAGCTGCAGAGAGGCTGCAGCTAAATAGATGGGAATTTAAACTTGAGAATCAAACATTGTATGTGTTTGGAAGACAACTCTGCTCGCTTATCCAAGGATTAAACCTGGTCAACGGGTGGAATGTATATAAAACGCTACTTAACAAAGTAAACAAAGATTTTTTTTCTTTTTTCTTTTCTTTATTTTTTTTTTTTTTTGCTCTTTCAGAACAAACATGAAATGGTGCCTCCAAGGAAACTTTGCCAAATGTAATCTCACCTGCTTCCTTCCATGCAGTGTCGCTAAGTGCATTTCACAGTTTCTGTATCTGGCAGGCATATGTCTCTATGTATAAAATATGTTGGTTGGAGGCCAGAGAACAATAAATCACATTGACAAAATACAAATTTAGGTATTCATTATAATTAACGTAAGCTTATCAATAGTATAAGATCCCCCCCCCACACATTTGCAAAACACGTGAGAAAATCTTTAAGGGTGTCAATATTATTGAAAGACTTGGCCCTATTGCTAACCTCTGAAAACACCAGAACATGTTCAGCAGCAATGCTGTTATGAGGTATTCTGGGGGCTCTGTGATTGAGGTTCATGGGCAGGAAGAATGGGGAAGGCTGGGTTTGGGTCCCATTGATGCCCTCAAACTTATTGGGCCCTGTGAGTGGGCATTGTAATCTTGCTCTGCTTCAATGTGTTCATTTATAAAAATGGCTGTAAAAAACACCTACCTCACAGCTGCTGTGAGAGCGAATTGCATTTGCTAAGTATTTTGAGATCCTTAGCTTAAAAGGTGCTACATAATGCAATGTATCATGCATTATACTAGATGCTAAAATAATTGTATAATTACAATGATGGTCATTAGTAGCAGTAACATCATCTTAATATAACATCTGCCGAAATAAAGATCAGCTGTGAACTATCAGTGCATCTAATTCTGCCAAGGCTTTGACTTTTCCTTGGCTATAATTTAGGTGTTTGGGAAAACTCTCATTTCTTTGCAATTTCTTCTGGTTTCAATGAATAAGTGGCTAGATCAGTGTGTTGCCTTGAAATCCCAAGATGCTGAACGTAGAGGCAGCTGCCCTCTTTGGGAAGGAACCTCTGGTTGGGCGTATATTACAGTAAATGAAGCATATGCTTTGCAAAATGCATCACAGCAACTTAGATCTCAGGAACTACTGAATGTGAATTCTAAGAACTTTGAGAGCAGGTAAAGGTAATCCACCTCTTTCAGAAGAAGCATAATCGGCAGTCAGCAAACCTTAACATTGCACATCTTCTACCATTTATTAGAAAACACCTGCTTGTTCTCATGCAAAGAAAGCCCCAAAGCTGAAAGAGTGTACCTTTTTAATTTATTTACTTGTGTTTTAACCTGACCCCGGGAGACCCCATAGAAGTAGATAGCAAACAGGCAGACAAAATGAGCAAGTGAAAGTCATGACTTGTTTCTGCAAAACTCTGGATCTCTCATCCCCAGCCCTAAAGGACCCAAGATGAGACAAGACTTCCCATCCCTTAACACATCTTCATCTTATGGTCAGCAGGGCTGCTGGTTTTGATTAGAGAATAGCAATTAGGTAACCTGGGGAGAGATGGATCAGCACAAGGTGAACCACCCTCCAACCCTGTAGCCTCAACTGCTGTGAGTTCGAATCACTGGGAAAGTCTCACGACTTCATACTTGGTTTACCTTCCAATCGTGCAGCTGAATCAAGCCTCTTGTCTCATACTATTGCCTTGCATCTACCCCATGCTCAGTCAAACCACCTTTGATGTCAAGAAATTGCACATTGTAAACATCATATATGTACATCTATGAATCGTTTTATAGGTGTGTGTATACATTATGAATACAGCCCTAATCTTTAAAAGGAGCAAAAATCAGAATAATATGTCTTAAAGAACTATTTCCTTACTTTTTTATGCTAGATAATGCCCATGTGACAAACATGTAAATATACATCAGAAACCATGTGTATATATTTTAAAGGCATTTTTTTCTTCTCCTCACCTGTATGTACAGCTAGAATCTGCTTGCTCCGTAGCATTTGCTTCTGCATGGAGTTTGGTGAAGCAAGGCCATTTGTCCAGTGTTTCAATATCCTTAAGCATGTTTGCCCTTCGTTTTTTGAATTTCAAAAAATGTTTAAGTGATCAAGAAAAAGCTCTAACTTTCTACTTTTGTTAATTTTAGGACATGACACTGGCCAAATTATTGTTTCAATTACTTGTTAAGCCATTCTATTCATTTCCCTGACGTAAAATATATAATGTTTCAGACAGTATTCTACCAAGAGTCTCTCAGACAATTTTTACAAAAACTCTTTTTTTCCATTATCTACTGGATAATGTATTATCAGTGTCTGTATTCTTAAAGTTTCTTTTTTAAATTTATTTTTTGGAAAAAAATTTCTCTTTGGTGGCTAGTTTAGGTGGCTTTGTGTCTTCTTATATTGGAACAAGTATCTATTTCAATATAAAATATTGTATTTTTAAATAACCAGAATCAACAAAATGAAGATCACTTAATTTAGATTCAATTCAGAAGAATAAAACCCCTTTGTGTGACACAATATGGGGAAAATAAACTATTTACAGAGAAGCCAAGGAAGGAGTTTTTCAATCAAATCTCTTCTATCAAAAGACAATGGAATATTTACCTAACGCATCTGGGATCATTTTCTACCTTTCCTAATACGTGGGTTTAGTGGGAGATTGATTATGTCATTTCTTCTGTAAAGGTGAAAATAGTTTTTATAAACAACAAAGTAACTTGTGAATGAAAGAAGTAATTTACTAGAACAACGCTTGTTGATAATTGACATTTAGGTATAACGTTATATATGAATGATTGTATTTATGTATTTATTTGTCACAATTGTACATACTGTTTCGCCAAAAGTAACTGTCTGTAAAAGTGCACTCTCCAGGTTTGTAGTACTCTTTAGGGTTACATGGGTTGCCAATCAAGCTGCTAATCAGAATACTATTTTTTGTATCAATGTTATAAAACTAAAAATGACAGATAGATGCTGAAGATGTCATTACATTCAGTTTCTTCACCTTCCTCTTGAAATGTAAACTGTTGACTGAAAGCACGATGCTTATGTATAGGCCCATCTGTCACGATGAAGATTATGGTTCCATAAAGCTGATTTTTTTTTTAAACCATTGGGACAAATAAACAGAAGGAGAACAAATTTTTCACTTTGCCTCTTTTCGGAAAGAATCTCTTTGGTGAGATGTGATTGTTAAAAGCTGATGCCCTGCCGTTTACCATCAACCTTTTCCACAGTCTCATTGTAGGTAATAGTTCATGCCATTCAGCGCTCATCCCAAAGAGCCCAGTGCAACTTAAGAGTCAACACAGAGACTATTCCATCTAGTATGTAGACCAGTGGCTACTCTGGGATTTAGGAAACAGGGATTCACTTGCCCCTTGGTGGCCTCAAGGAATCATTTTAACTGGCCTCTGTATTAAAATCTATGGTTTAAACTTGCCAACAAATTCCAACCCAGGGGGCATTCTATTAATAATGTGTTTGGCAACTTAAGACATGTTAAATCTAAGGCAAAAATGTCATTCTCATGTTTCATCTGCATGTATCCTTTGGAATACTGTATGTTACTTTAAAAGTTTAATTGGATCAGAGAAGATCTATTCAGACATTCCTCACAGCAGCCAAGTAGATGATTGCTGATGCCTGATTGTGTCAGCAAGAGACTGAGAACTATTTAGGAGACAAAAGTTACTTTCGTTATCAATCCTGATCTAGCTAAACAGATATTCACTTTTTTTGTTTGTTTGTTTTCTTCAACTTATTTTAAGTTCGGGGATACATGTGCAGGATGTGCAGGTTTATTACACAGGAATACGTGTGCCATGGTAGTTTGCTGCACAGATCATCCCATCACGTAGGTATTAAGCCCGGCATCCAAAAGCTATTCTTCCTGATGCACCCTCCCCTGAATCCCTTCTGACAGCCCACAGTGTGTTGTTCCCCACCATATGCCCATGTGTCCTCACCATTCAGCTCCCACTTATGAGCACATGTGGTGTTTGGTTTTTTGTTCCTGTATTAGTTTGCTGAGGATAATGGCTTCCAAATTCATTTATGTCCCTGCAAAGGACATGATCATGTTCCTTTTTATGGCTGCATGGTATTCCAGATATTCACTTTTTAATGGAAATTTAACTTTTGGTTTACTCCCCACATACCTTGGAGTTCCAAAAGGTAAAGTTTATCAGGTGAGTGGAACTATGTGAGTAAATGATAAAAACATAATATACAGCTTTGTATTCCACGTAACTTTTTCAAAGGACCAACATCAAGAGCAGTGATCTAAAAATATAGTCTCCAGGCCAGGCACGGTGGCTGACTCCTGTAATCCCACCACTGTGGGAGGCCAACGTGGTGGGTCACCTGAGACTAGGAGTTTAAAACCAGCCTGGCCAACATGGTGAAACTCCATCTCTACTAAATATACAAAAATTAGCCGGGTGTGGTGGTGCACACCTGTAATCCCAGCTACCTGGGAGGCTGAGGCAGAAGAATAGCTTGAACAGGGAGGCAGAGGTTGCAGTAAGCCAAGATCATGCCACTGCACTCCAGCCTGTGCAACAGAGCAAAACTCCATCTCAAAAATAAATAACTATAGCTTCCAGACCAGGAGCACCAGACTCATCCGGGAACTTGCTAGAAAAGCAAATTCTCAAGTTCCTCCAGAAACTTCAGCGTGTGGCTCAGCAGTCCATTTTAATGAGCCCTCTAGCTAACTCCAATGCCCACTGGAGCTGAGAACACTAACCCAAAGCAGAGACTGGGGAACTACAGTCTGTGAACTCCATCCAGTCTGCTGTCCACAAGCTAAGAGTGGTTCCCATGAACAGCTGCAATGATTGATGACAGCAGATGCTAACACAAGCTCCAACTAAGCAGGACGTTAGTCCCATAGGAAGAATGCCATTCCTCTCATTAGTGGATGTGTATTGCCGATGCAAAAAATTGTACTGTTATTATTTTATTTTGAATTCCATCAATACAAAAACTGGACATTTATTTTTTCTTTTGTTATGTAAGTACTATCATATATTTTCAAGTTTACTTCTTGACCCACAAAGCTTAAAATATTTATTATCTTGCACTCTATAGGAAAAGTTTGCCAACCTTTGACCTAGAGAAACAGGAATACATCTGAAAAAGGTGCTACACACAAAATGTTTCCATTTATGGATGAAAAAATCATATCAGCATTGGAATTATCTTCCCATACAGCCAGGAAAACGACAATGTAGTCATGATAATGAATTGCATTAACAACCAACAGCTGCATATATTTTTGAAATATTTCCTTGTTTTCTCTGAGTGATTTTTAAAAATTATAAAGGCTCGATTCTAACTGTCACAATTACCCACATTTTAATTAATATATTGCTTAAAGAGGTGTGCATATTAGACCTAAAAGGGTGGGTTTCATGTAGCTTGATTATTATGAGTATTCTATTTTCTCATTTACTTAATTGATTGTCATAGATTTCCAAATGAATTCACACTGCTGGGAGAGAATTGAATACATTTTTAAGAGAAAAAACCAAAAATGAACAAAATGTAAAATAGAAATGGGGATATTTAAAAGAGTGAGTGATGTGCCCCACAATATAATCCGTGTGAGCATGAAAAATCACCCTCAATAAGATCTCCTTACCTCCTCGCTGGTTAAAATAGGCATTTTTGAAGTGAAAAAGTTATTGATTCAACCACATCGATAATAACGCTGGCTCCACTGTCTCTTCAGCCAGAGGTGCCTAGCACTCAAGAAAAATTTTCCATTTAGTTTTCTTTCTAGAATCTATTAGTTTAGTACATTATGTCAACTATTTGTTATGCCTCTGGCAATGACCTCCGGTCTCACCTGGAGGAAGCATGGC